TTGGTCTTCCAACTTTGCTATAACGAAATCCATTTCGGCAAAACAGCCGCTTCAATATATTGATACAAGTAACTTTAATATTCCCGATGGGATCTGTCTTGCGGATCCCTTATTTTTTAAGCCACAGCGTATTGAGATGCTACTAAGCACAGAGTTATTTTTTGCTTGCCTTCAAGATGGCAAAATATCCCTCGGTCCTGGCCTACCTTGCTTACAAAACACGGCTTTTGGTTGGATCGCAGGTGGGGTAATTGAACATTCAACAAACGATTCTGCATTCATTTGCAATATCGCTGTAAACGCAGAGTCACCTAAGGCAGATGATATTCTCAAGCGATTTTGGGAAATTGAAGAGTTCCCGCAATCTAATCCAGTTCTATCAGAAGAAGAGTCTTATTGTGAGAAACATTTTCTTAAAAACGTGACCGTTCTCAACAACGGTCGAATACAAGTCCGGTTACCATTCAAAACCGCACCTTCTGTATTAGGCAACTCATATGAAAACGCCAAGAAAAGGTTTCTACTGCTCGAGCGCCGTTTGAGCCGTAATACTGAATTGAAGCAAATGTATGAGAACTTTATGAAGGAATATGAAGATTTGGGACATATGTCGCGCGTAGTCGATGTTGAGTTAAGCAACCCACATTTTGTGATACCACACCATTGCGTCATGCGACCAGAGAGTACAACAACAAAGTTGCGTGTAGTTTTCGATGGCTCGGCAAGCACATCATCATGTAAATCGCTTAATGAAATACTAATGGTAGGAGCAACTATTCAACAGGAACTTATTATAACGCTTTTGTCTTTTCGTTTGCATCGGTTTGCGATCACAGCCGATATATCTAAAATGTATCGCCAATTTCTTGTCGAAAAGGATGATCGGAAGTTTCAATTAATTATTTGGAGAAATAAAGAAGATGAGCCCCTTCAAATGTTCGAGCTCAATACCGTTACTTATGGTTTAGCATGTTCCCCATTCTTAGCAATCCGTAGTTTGTTTCACATTGCCGATTTACACAGCAAAACGCACCCAGTAGGTGCGGCTATTATTAAAAGGGACTTCTACGTAGATGATTTATTGA